TGGGATTCCCGCCGGGAAGGAGGAGGGTGGCCCCGCGCCGGGCACGGCCGTCCCGCAGAGCACCCCCGTGCCCGCCAAGAGGAGGGGCCTGGGCAGCATGAACATCACCAGGTTCATGAAGAGACCACGGGAGGCCGGGCAGGTGAGTCCTGCAGGGGTGAGGGGTGGGCAGGGGGGGCATGGGCAGGGTCTGCATTCCCAGTGAGGGGTGTCAGGGTAGTCATGTTCAGGGTGTTCATTCCCAGTGAGGGATGTTCAGGGTGTTCATGGTCAGGGTGTTCATTCCCAGTGAGGGATGGTCAGGGTGTTCATGGTCAGGGTCTTCATTCCCAGTGAGGGATGGGCAGGGGGGTCATGTTCAGGGTATTCATTCCCAGTGAGGGATGTCAGGGTGTTCATGGTCAGGGTGTTCCTCCCCAGTTAGGGATGTTCAGGGTGTTCATTCCCAGTTAGGGATGGTCAGGGTGTTCATGGTCAGGGTGTTCATGGTCAGGGTGTTCATGGTCAGGGTGTTCATTCCCAGTGAGGGGTGGGCAGGGGGGTCATCCCCACTTAGGGATGGTCAGTGTGTTCCTCCCCACTTAGGGATGTTCAGGGTGTTCATTCCCACCAAGGGATGTTCAGGGTGTTCATTTTCAGGGTGTTCATTCTCGGTGTTCAGGGTGTTCATTCCCACTGAGGGATGTTCAGGGTGTTTGTTCCCAGTTAGGGATGTTCAGGGTGTTCATGGTCAGGGTGTTCCTTCCCAGTGAGGGATGTCAGGGTGTTCATGTTCAGGGTGTTCATGTTCAGGGTGTTCATTCCCAGTGAGGGATGATCAGGGTGTTCCCCCCCTGAGGGATGGTCAAGGTGGTCATCCCAGTGAGGGGTGGTCAGGGGGGTCATCCTAGTGAGGGATGTTCAGGGTGTTTATCCCCCCTGAGGGACGTTCAGGGTGTTCATGGTCAGGGTGTTCATCCCCCCTGAGGGATGGTCAGGGTGTTCATTCCCAGTGTTCAGGGTGTTCCTCCCCAGTGAGGAACATTCAGGGTGTTCCTTCCTTGTGAGGGATGTTCAGGGTGTTCATGTTCAGGGTGTTCATTCTCAGTGAGGGATGTTCAGGATGTTCATGTTCAAGGTGTTCGTGTTCAGAGTATTCATTCCTTCTGAGGGATGTTCAGGGTGTTCCTTCCCTGTGAGGGATGTTCAGGGTGTTCATTCCCAATGTTCAGGGTGTTCCTTCCCTGTGAGGGATGGTCAGGGTGTTCATTCCCAATGTTCAGGGTGTTCATTCCCAATGTTCAGGGTGTTCCTTCCCTGTGAGGGACATTTGGGGTGTTCATTCCCAGTGTTCAGGGTGTTCATTCCCAATGTTCAGGGTGTTCACTCCCTGTGAGGGATGTTCATGGTGTTCATTCCCAGTGTTCAGGGTGTTCATTCCCAGTGTTCAGGCTGTTCCTCCTCAGCTGGGAATGGCTCTGGCTGTATTTACACCCAGCTCCAAACATGGTCCTTCCCCCCAGAAACCCCTTTGGTGGGTTCAGGAGTGAAACCAGAGCACCAGAGAGACGAGTTCCCTTTGTGTGGGACTCTCTGTCCCGCTGGAAACGTCCCTCTCCTGCTGCTCCTCCATTCTCTGCTCCCTGGCACTGGTTGCATCCAGGCTGGGAATATTTGGAATGTCTGCCTGGCCTTGCTTTTCCAGCTGGGAGTGATTTGTGGCAGGTTTTTGTGTGCCAGAGGCACAGCCCGGGCTGGGCACTGGTTAAATGTGCTCCCAACTCCAGCCTGTGGAGTGTCCAGCTCATCCCAACACACAGAAAGCTGGAATTGCAGGAGCTGGGTTAAAAATCCAATAATTCCAGAGGGACAGAAGGAGCTGGAATTGCAGGAGCTGGGTTAAAAATCCAATGATTCAGAGGGACAGAAGGAGCTGGAATTGCAGGAGCTGGGTTAANCAGAGGGACAGAAGGAGCTGGAATTGCAGGAGCTGGGTTAAAAATCCAATAATTCCAGAGGGACAGAAGGAGCTGGAATTGCAGGAGCTGGGTTAAAAATCCAATAATTCAGAAGGACAGAAGGAGCTGGAATTGCAGGAGCTGGGTTAAAAATCCAATAATTCAGAGGGACAGAAGGAGCTGGAATTGCTGGTGGTGCTGCTGGGGAGCTTTGCTGTGGTTTTCCTGTTGGTGCTTCTCCTGCTTCTCAGGGTGACCACAGGTAGTGTTGGAGCTCAGTCATCCCAAGGGATGGCTGAGGAATGTGGTCATGGAGTCGTGGAACAACAACCCAAACCATTCCAATAGGGAAGGGACACCTCCCACTAGCCCAGGTTGCTCCAACCTGGCCTTGGACATTTCCAGGGCTGGGGCAGCCACAGCTTCTCTGGGAAAACCTGTGCCAGGGCCTCCCCACCCTCCTGGGGGGAATTCCTGCCCAATATCCCATCTAAATTCCCCCTCTTTCACTTTGAAGCCATTCCCTGTGTCCTGTCCCTCCATCCCTCATCCCAAATCCCTCTCCAGCTCTCCTGGAGCCCCTTTAGGCCCTGGAAGGGGTTTAAGCTCTCCCTGGAGCCTTCCCTTCTCCAACCTGGCCTTGGACACTTCCAGGGATGGGGCAGCCACAGCTTCTCTGGGAATTCCATCCCAGCCCCTCCCCACCCTCCCAGGCAGGAATTCCTTCCCAAAATCCCACCTACCCCTGCCCTCTGGCAGTTGGAAGCCATTCCCTGCTGTCCTGGCCCTCCAGGCCCTTGGAATCAGTCCCTCTCCAGCTCCATTTATTCCTCCTGTCCCGTGCACCAGGTCAGGGAAGAATCCAGGAATAGTTTGGGTTGGGAGGGACCTTCAGGCTCATCTCCTTCCACCCCCTGCCTTGGACCACAGAGGAGGCTTTGGATGCTTTTGATGCTTTTCCTTCCCAATCTATTCTTGGCTCTTTTTTTTTTTTTGGCTTTTCCACTGCAAAAGCTCAGCATTCAGGTACTGATGGAGATCAGAGACTTGTGAGAAGCTGTTCAGCCCCCAAACTCCATCTGCTTGGTGGTTTTTTTCTTGTTTTTTTTTTTTTT